GCCCGTTCCGACCTTGCTTATGAGCCTTATTCTCATTCCCAAGTCTAGAAGGAGTATGATTTCAATAGGATCAAGATGTGTTTCACAAAACACAGATGTTTATATTTCTGAAATTTGCATTTGCCGGCGCTTGGTTGGGGTATGACAGGATTTGAATGGCTACCATGTTTCTAAGGGTTGTGAAGAATCGACATAGGCCAGAAGAGGGATAAATACCCAAGGATTTGCCATAGATCTATATCATAATGAAATACACGACTGTATTCGAAATTCGTTTTAAATGTCCTACCATGGTCGTTAGATTATGTGAAGGTTTGATTCTCATTCAAACTTGAATAGCGACATCACGTGCTTTAGCTTTAAAATAAATCCCCAGACCCATTCGCACTTGCAAACAGGAGCTCACTTGAATTTCCCTCTACAAGACCTTCTCTTATATCTCATATTTTAAAGCGGCATATGGTAGAGTTATGAATTCGCTCGAGCAATGTCTCACCAGGTACGTGTTGATTTATTATTTTTTGTCAGAAACGAAAAATCCTCGTCACGGCCCCACACCATAAGTCCCACCAAATTCCCATAAAGTCGATGAGATCTGGAGTGCCAGAATGGCCGTTTCGATGAACGGGGGAAAATCGATCATCTGAAAGAAGAAAAAAGAAACAAAATAATAACGATAGAAAAGGAAAGGAAAAGTCATTAACGTTTTCTTTTTTGGTAGGCGGCACTTCGCGGTCGACTCCGTCGTGAATATGTGTTGAATCCTGTCACGGCGCTCGCGTTTTTGACGCTGGGTGAGGGGCAATACCTACTCGCGGCCGAAGACACAGATATAAGAGTCTACGACGTCGCGACGTACCGACTTTGCGGCACAATTCCCATATTTAGTGCACAGCCTATCCACGGGATATCTGTGCCGCCGGCTGCCGAGCACAAGAGTAGCGGCGGTGGCACTCCCGGCAAAGCCCCTCAGATCCTCGTCTGGGGTAGTAATGTCGTTAAAGTACTTCCTGGTCGCATCGTTCAGGATCTAGTATCTGTCGGCTCCGGGGACGACGATGACGGTTCGCCTCGCAACGCTTGTGAGGTGTCTGAATTACTAGAGTGTGTACCGGAAGCTATAGCTCCTGATTGGATATTCGACGGCCGCATCTCGCCCTTTGATGATAGTCATATCGTTCTCCTCACGGCGCATAATGAGGTTATCCAAGGCCATGTGAGCGCGGATGGGAAGGCACTCGCGCTAGGTCGAGTGCAGTCACCTTCGCGACCCATCTTATACTCGGGAAACTTCTTCTGGGTTGAGCGAGACTGTGTGCTCGTTGCTGCAGGGACCGTCTTTGGCGAGATCGTGGTCTGGAAGTGTCATCTTACCTCCAATATCGATATAAACGATAGCGATCAGAGTATTGAAGCAGACGATGCGCAAGGAAGGAAAGAAACTGTCGGTTACCAGGTCTTATTCATATTCTCGGGCCACGAAGGCTCGATCTTCGGTGTTCACATCTCACCTGAGATACAAACAAGTACGGGGGAAACAATTAGACTTCTCGCGAGTTGTAGTGATGATAGGACGGTCCGTATTTGGGATATCACGGAACGAAATGGTGGTTCTACGAATGAAGACAAGAAGTACGAAACACAAATATCCGACGCAAGACAAACTGGGTTTGGTGACTCTATTATTGGCTCAGTAGGGCTGCCCGACAGCTCTTCCAGATGTATCGCAATGGCTATGGGTCATATATCCAGGATATGGCAAGTTGAGATCAACGGCCTAAGTCCCCTTTCAAACGAAGATCCGATTGAAGTTTACTCATTTGGAGAGGATGCTACGATACAAAGGTGGTATCTCGAACTGAATACCAACCAGTCAGCCATTTCAAATACATCAAAGATAGGGGTATCAAACAGCCCAGCTCAACCGCTTTCCAGATTGACGCACAACGAGACTTTCTCGAACCATAGTGGAAAGCACATCTGGTCGCACGCTATGACTGTTAATAAAAATGGTCTTCTGATAGCTACTGGCGGCGGGGACGGTAAGATAGCACTCATGGAGAATGTCTCAGCTCCTGCATCACGGATCATCGGTGATGCAGCCGGTGGCACGGGTCCTCACCCAAAGTTTATCCAAGAACTTGATGTTTCTCCAACGTATCTGATCGAAAAGTGCAAAGACAAATCCGCTGGAGTTCCCCCTTCTATCTCATCTTTCAAGCATGGAAACGGAAAAGAGATGTTCCAAAGCTTTTCATTTATCACAGGCGACAGGTTACTAATCACCACAAGGTCGGGGCGTCTTTTCTTAGGCATATTCAACGACAAAACGGACTGGAAAGAACTCACAATCTCCGATGCAACACGTACGACCATACAATCATATACTATCCTACGAAGTTCCAGAAGAGCCTCGACGGCTTTTATTGGCGCTCCGAATGGGGAACTGTTTTACTATCATGAGGCCAGCGATGATTCTCTCCGGCCAATTTATAAAGCAGAACGAAAAATTATAGATATTATCTGCCTTTCCGATACTTGGATTTCATCTCCTCCTACATGCGGTCATTCCGCAGAAAATGGCGATGGCTACATCGACATCCTCGTCACCGTCTTCGGCAGCACGAAAGCAGAACTTCTCCGTCTTAACCACAGCCACGACATAGTACTACAAGCAGAGGTAAACACGCCTGATGGATTCATCGTGACAACCGCCGCATGGTGTCACAACTACCTCATTCTTGGCTCTAGACACGGGAACATCTCCATCTCTGCATTGACTACAGACGGGATTTACGCTCCTCTCCTGACAATGGAAGTCAAGATCGGCGACAAGATCACCTCCATTCTTCCGCTCCCCAAACAGTCCGAGCATTCTCCTCTCTATTTCCTCACGACTGCTCGCGATGGAAAATACAGAATATACGAGATCCTTGGCACGACGAACAACACCCAAGTCCGTCTTCTGCACGAGACAAAATCCACAATCGGAACCATGATCGAAGGATCCTGGCTCTTCGACAGAGGCGGCGGAAAGCACGATCTCCTACTCTACGGCTTCCGAAGCAAATACTTCGTCATATGGAACGTGACGCAACAGAACGAGGTCGCGGCAATCGACTGCGGCGGCGGACACCGCGTCTTCGATCAGGTGCAGATAAGCGGTAATCCCGACGGGTTCCGGTTCGCCTGTACTAAGGCATCGCAGATGAAAATCTACTCGCAGACGCGTGCAACCCATCTGCCGCTGAAGATAGGCGGACATGGCCGCGAGATCAAGGCCGTGGCGGTCGCATCAGGTAAATACGTGGCTACGGGTGCCGAGGATACCGTGATTCGCATTTGGGATCTGGGCAACGGAGAAGGGGAAGGACGAGAGCAGCTTCGCTGCCTGCTTGCCCTGGAAAAGCACAACACAGGCATCCAGAAGCTGAAGTGGTACAAAGATCAGTATCTCTTCAGCAGTGGCGGCAACGAGGAGTTCTACGTTTGGCGCGTCACGGCCTTGGAAAGCGATATCTGCCCGCTCGGTGTCGTTTGCGAGGCCGTATTTCCCGATCGCTCTGAGGTGGGCGACTTGCGGATTACGGACTTCGATGTGCAGTGTTTGAACGACTTTGCGAGCACTGATGAGGAAGACGCTGCCCTGAAGTCGGGTGAATCACGGCCCGAGCTCGAATTTTGCATCACGATGACGCTCTCGAACTCTACGGTGCAGAGCTACCTCTACTCTTCGCGAAATAAATTTCAACTTCTGGGCCGACGGACGTATACAGGCGCATGTCTCACGCAGCTTAGACATCTGAATTTCGCGGATCGATGCCACCTACAAGTCCTAACAGCCGCGACTGATGGCCATTTAGCTGTTTTCCCACATGTACAGGCTTCCGGGAACGAGACCGAGGATTCCACGGATATACTTGTCACTAAACTCCACCAAAACACTATCAAATCACTAGATATGCGAAGCATCACTACTGAAACCGGGACCTCGTACCTAGTCGTCACAGGCGGTGACGATGATGCGATCGGGGTCTTGCATTTATACCATCCCCGTCCACCTTCATCCTCTAAGCTAATTTCTGCAGAAGACATAACTGGAGGCTCCGATTCTATAGTGAATTCGACCTCCTTATCACACCAAACCCCAGTCTCAGAATCGTCCCTAGAGCCAACTCAAATAAAAGAAAGCCAGAAGGAACCCCAGTACGAAATCCGCAGCAAATCCATCGTTCGCTCCGCGCATGCCGCCGCAGTGACAGGTATAGGGATAGTGCGGCTAGAAAACAAAGGGCGGGACGCCGTGATCGCGACCACGAGCAACGACCAGCGCGTCAAGACATGGCGGCTTGTGGACTGGAGATCAATCTCTCTGAAGGTGCACTTGCTCGACGATGTGTACAGCGGCGTCGCGGACGCAGGGGATCTGGAGGTCGTGCACGAGGATGGACCGCGAGGGTCAAGCAATGGGGAGAGGGTCTTGGTTGCTGGCGTTGGTATTGAGGCTTGGGGGGTATCTTGACCATAGATAGGGGCTTGCTAGATGTTCCGTTGCGAAACGGGATAGGGGTATAAGGTTCGCTGTATCTTTAGACAGACCATAGAATCAGACATGTGATTTACACGTTTCTATCGATATTGAACCGCACTAAAGCATGAAACTGTTGTTATCACTGTAATACTGGTAAGTTGGTCCCGGATGTAGATGAGAGTCGAGTCAGGGGACAGATACAGTACCATGGAACGTGCTAGGTCACAGCAGTTTCGCCTCCCTTAAGGCTATAAAGTTAATTGAGGACCTATATTAATCAGAGTTTGTGCTTCCATTTTCATTGTTGAGAACAGTGTGCTATGCTAGTAAAGCAGTGCTGATTAGCATGGGAATGCTAAGTCATTATAGTCATGGGCTGCATTTACGGCAAGTACCGTGGTACTTGGACTATTTATAGAGCACTAAGGCATCCATTTGTTACAACCCAATCATGGAAAAATAATAAGTTGTTCTCGTGGCCTAGTGGTTATGGCGCATGTCTTACATAACATTCTTTCTGATGAGAAGAAATATAGGATCACATGAGATCCCCGGTTCGATCCCGGGCGAGAACACTGTTTATTCATACCCCCTTTTTGCCTAGCAATCCTTCCAAAACATTCCGCAATATTTTTTCTTTTTTCAAATAGCTATCTATCTATCTATGTATGCTTCTCTGAGTTGCCTCTTGGAAATAATTCTATATAGGTACCTATTGTAGCAATCATGCTTGTATTCTAGTCACCTTATGCTTCTGTTGCTTAAAATGTGGGGCATTTGATCTGCCAGATTAACTAACAGCAAGTGCTCTGCTTCACACATCCTGAAGGAAGCTACTAGACTCGGTACCACCCCTCAGGGAAGCATCAACAAAATGAGTAACACGGCAGCCCGTAACTTGTTACAACATGGAATTCTACGGCCTCGGATAGGCAGAATGTATGGTCCTCCAATTGACCCTTCAAGTATCCTCGCTGACGCTTCCAATAATAGCTACGATGCAGCACGAGCAACAACTCCCTACAGATCGATATGCCAGCGCTGTGAGCAGCGACCGCTCTTGGCTTCTTCAAGCCCCAGATTGTCCTCAAAGCCCTTGAACGGTCTACGAAGCTTGCACACTTCTCCCGCTCTGTCCAAGTCGAAGAAGAAAGAAGAGCCACAGAAACGCACCGCCAACAGCGGCCGCGGTAAATCCGCCGAGAAATCGTCAGAGAAAACCACCGACAACACACCAGACGACGGACCGAAACACCCCCAGCCCTCTCCCGACGAACCCCTCAACTTCGCCGATGTCGAATCCCGTCTAAGCAAGCACACGGAGCACTTCAAGGCGTTGCTAAAGCAGCAGAGCGGGGCCAAGTTCGACGCAGACGTGATCGGGGCGCTGCGCGTGGCGACGGACAAGAAGACAGGGGAGACATACCCGCTGCGCGAGCTGGCGCAGGTGGTACCCCGCGGCGGGCGCGCCGTGTCGCTGCTGGTGCACGAAGCCGACTACGTGAAGCCCATCATGAGCGCGGTGCAGGCGAGCCCGCAGTTCAACCAGCAGCCGCAGCGCGACGCGGACAACGAGCTCGAGCTCATCCTCAAGATCGAGCCCGAGAAGCGCGAGGACGTCGTCAAGAGGGTCAAAGGCAGCGCTCACGAGTGGCGCGAGCGCGTGCGCGCTGTCCGCCAGAAGCGGGATAAGCTGCATGCCACCTGGAAGAAGGACGGCCTTATGGGTCCTGATCTGAAGAGGACGGCGGATAAGGAGCTGGAGAAGGTCATTAAGGCTGCTACTGCTGAGATCGATGAGGCTGAGAAGAACGCTCTTAAGGCATTCCAGTAGAATTTGGGCGGTATACTGGGGTTTTTATACACATCCTGGAAGATATATTTATCTAGACCTCTCGCCTGCACGCAGCGCTGCTCGTCATTTAGGGAAATAGTCTCACGCTAAAAGCGAAGACGTGAATTAAATGCAAGTGTTGGGATACATGTACATTTATATTCATAAGGTTGCTCTTCTACAATATTGGTATGATACAGTGAGCACTAGAGTCGAAACATGACGGTCTCTGAAGCCGTTCCTCCTCGACAGCTGTCTTTCCCGTCTCTTCAATGTCTGTAGTCTTCAAAGGTTTGGCTCATTTCTAAGCACCTTTCTTCGCCTCGCCAGCAGCCTTCACAGGCCCTGTCTTTCCACCAGGTAGCAAGCTCCTGATCTTCTCCTCGATTCGCCTCTCCGCATCCGAATTCCACGAGGCGTCCCTCCTAACATAATTCCGCACCGAACCAAGAGTGTCCTTCGCGTCAGTGTACTGAGGGCCCTGGTACGTACCAAGCAGCGCACTCTGCAGAACCGCATCCTTAGTCTCCTTGGGCACAGGCGGGAAAGCCTCCAGACCCATCGCACCCGCCGCGATTTTCTTCATCTCCTGGCTCGGGAAGAACACGCCGCTGCCGTCCTTGTACTGCTTCCACATGTCGTCCGACCCGGCAGAGCTGAGCGGGTGGAACGTCTGGCCGCCGCCGAGGATGCGCGCCTGGCGCATAACCGTGTCGTCCTTGGCCATGCGCGAGCCGGCCGTCGCTACCGCGGGGCCCCAGCCCGCCAGGTCCGCAAGCGAGATCGAGGGGTCGAACTGCTGCATCGAGCCTATCTCCTTCGCCTGGCGCATCGCGAGCACCGCGGGGGACCACTCGTATTCCTGGGAGCCCTCGTCCTCGCCTTTCTCTTTCTTGTCTCGTCGGCGCCGTCCTCCCTCCCCGCCCCCACGCCCACGCCCACGCCCACGTCCACCAGCTCCTCCACCGCGAGCTCCTTCTCCGCCACGGCCGAACCCACCTCTGCCTCTGCCTCTGAAGCCGCCGCGGATAACGTTAGGACCGCGTGGGGAGGCGGCTTGGGGGATCGTTATGGGGCTAGCGTCGGACCGCAGGTCGAGTTTTCTGAAGACTGTGTTGCCCCTTGAGGACTGTGATGGTGATGTGTTCATCTGCACGAGGTCGGAGAACGCCGCGGCGGCGCGTTGCCTTCCGGTCGGCCGCGGGCTGCTGCTGCCATTGCTGCTTATGTTGTTGTCCGCGGCGAGTTGCTGGGCGGTGGAGAATGCGCGTAGAGACGCTGCGATGCCGTCTGTGACTCGGCTGAGGTCAGAGTTCGTGCGGCCGACGGCCGAGTGCAATGGTTGGCGTATCATCTGGCTCAATTGAAGTGGCTTCGGATATTGGCTATAGCTTGAATTGCCCGGTCCGAAATTTTGAGGGTAAGGCACAGCTCGGATAAGTGAACTTTAGTGGAATATTTATGCTCTAAAGCCAGTATATACTATAAAGGGGGATATCGCCCTATCCAATAAATAGGGGAACTGACAGGTATTCTTCAACTATTTAGACAATTTTAGCCATTAAAGCAATAGCTAATTATTAATTAAATCGATATTAGATTGATTATTTAGAGTCCTAAGACTTTGCTTTTATGCTTTTGTTTGTTTTGAACTGTTTTTTCAAAATTGAAATTTCTACCCACTGCTGCTCCAATTCACGAAATTCTCCTCAAGCCGACAAATATGCAACGATCTATTTCTGGCTCTGCAGCGCCTTGCCCATACCGCCGTAGGTAATTGTCTTGATATGCTGGTACTCCTCTATGCCGTACCTGGATCCTTCTCTGCCAAATCCAGACTGCTTAACGCCTCCAAATGGCGCGGCTGCGTCGGAAATAAGACCCGTGTTGACGCCTATCATGCCAACCTCTAATGTTTCCGCCACCCTGTGTATCCTCTCCAGATCTCTTGAGAAGAAGTAGCCGGCCAATCCGACCTCGGCCTCGTTCGCTAGGTCCACGACTTCTTGCTCCGTATCAAATGGGAAGAGACCGGCAACAGGCCCAAATGTCTCTTCACATGCGATGGCCATGTCTTTTGTCATACCCGTGATCACGGTAGGTTGGAAGAAATTAGAGCCGAGGTCTGGCAGCTTCTGGCCTCCCACAACAACCTTTCCGCCTTTCTTCTCGGCATCCCTTACGTGTGCCTCGACCTTGGAGACGGCGCGATCGTGGATAAGAGGGCCGTGGGTAATACCCTCGTCAAATCCATGCCCCACCTTGAAACCCTTGACAACTTCGGCGAATTTCTTTGAGAACTCATCGTAGATACCTTTCTGGACGTATATACGGTTTGCGCAGACACAAGTCTGGCCGGATGAACGGAATTTGGACGCGATGGCACCGGCGACCGCAGCGTCAACATCGGCATCGTCAAATACGATGAACGGTGCGTTTCCGCCCAGCTCCATCGACAAGACTTTCAGGCTCGATGAAGCCTGCTTCATCAGGAGTTTCCCCACTCCCGTAGAGCCTGTAAACGAGATCTTCTGGATTATAGGGTGAGTCGTCAAGGTCTCGCCGACCTCAGGGGTGTTGTGGAGAGAGGTCACGACGTTCACGACGCCCTTGGGTATCCCAGCCCGGTGTGCAAGTTCCGCCAACGCCAGTGATGTGAACGGTGTCTCGCCAGGCGCCTTGCACACTGTTGTACAGCCCGCAGCGAGAGCCGGGCCAATTTTACGTGTTATCATCGCTGCAGGAAAGTTCCACGGTGTGATCAGCCCACAGACGCCCACGGGCTGCTTCAGCGTAACGACTCTGTTGCCAGGGATAGAAGCTGGTATCGTATCGCCGTAAATTCGCGGGGCCTCTTCACTAAACCATTCAAAGAACTGCGCGGCATAGTTGACCTCGCCCTTTGCATCTGCGAAAGGTTTGCCGTTCTCTAACGTGATGAGCTTTGCCAAATCCTCCGAGTTTTCCGTTACTAGGTCGTACCATTTCCGCAGCAACTTAGACCGCTCTCGACCAGTCTTCGTGCGGAAGGACTTGAACGCCTCGCTGGCCGCTACTATAGCTTTTTCGGTGTCCTTGCCGTCGAACTCGGGGCAAGTCCCAACGAGTTCTCCCGTCGCAGGGTCGTGGACTTCAAAGGTCTTGCCCGAGGCGGCTTTTACCCATTCGCCATTCACGTAGCAGACGTCCGTCTTGAATAACGACGGGTCGTTGAGCTGAATCGTTAGATTGGAGGCCAATCTCGATGCTACTAGCGGAAGACTAGTTTTCTGAAACCGTGATCTAATGACGAGTCGTGCAGATGATGCTGCGCCCTTACGGAGAGAGTGTATCAATGCCATGATGAGCACGGAAAATGAGATATAATGGAATTTGAGACCCGGGAATTTCAGATCGGGCTGACGGTCTTTTTATTTCTGAAGCTCGAATAAGCTTGTCAATAGCGTCAATGACGTTTATAAACCGCAGACATCGGCTGTACCTACTGGAACAGGCAGGGGCTAGATAGGTGCCGTACTAAACGCGCCCGCATACAAGCCCCGCGTCCCTAATCCACCTAACTAGGGACCTAAGCTATGCCTAACAAGGTTTGATTAAGCGTCAAACCAACCATCCTCGCTGGATCAACTGCTACTTGTGAATATTTGAACAACTTCAAATATAGAGAGAGATAATAATAAGTTGATAGTCAATCGATTATTTCGTTGTTGAATAACCTTTGAACACGGAAATCATAGGCAT